TGGTTTTCCTCTATCAAACCCTCAAGATCATTTGAATGTTGTTAGGAACGTCTGTTTTTGTAAATATATTGTAGCTGAGCCGTCCTTAGAAATAAAAATTAAAGAACAAATTTTAAATCATTGGCTGCTGTCCTAATGTCCTGGCTACTGTTACTTTGGTCAGCGGGTGGCCTGGTCAGCCTTTCCAAAGCCAATTTTCATTGTAAGATATTTTTATTTCTTTGAAATAGGCAAAGCCTTTTGAAAATGAGGGAGCAGCCTGCTTGTGGTTGTGTAGATGAAGGCTTATATGTGCAACAAAGTAGCTGTAGAGTTTTTATATTCTGTTTGCAGTAATAGTAAACAGAGCATCTAAAATAACCACTTGCACATTGCAACAAACACATCATCATTTGCTTAAAAAGAGTTATAATTACAGTTGACGAAGCATGGACACCATAAAAAATGCATTAGTTTGGCTTGACACATTAATTACCTGTTTTTGCAGATGTTTTTATATATTGTTGTGTGAACAGTTTACAAAATAATTACAGGAAAGTAATATGGAAAATAAACTAAGTGGGTGGTTTCTCGCCTTAATATTTTCATTCATGTGAATCTGTGTGATGCACAGCTGCTCCGCAGCAAATGCAGAGGGAGAGAGAGGGAGAGAGACGGGGAATCTTGAGGGGTTTTTATTCTAAGGTCTCTATGATCAGCCTTGCTACACTTTTATATCTTGCTTTAGCAGTGTAGTTTTTAAACATGTAAAATGACATTGCTGATTTAATCCTAGTGATCAGGAGGGGGGAGAAGCTTTGATCCTGATCAGATGAAACGTAAATCTTCTAGTATCTAGGAAAATAAATGAAAAATCAATATTATTTTAAGCAGGATGATCTTTTATGAGCAGTTGTAAAGATTCATCAAAGGCTTTGACACAGTTTAAACATTTCCTGTTTGCTGCCATTTAAAGAAAAATGCCTTTCAAGTTATAAATTGTAATTAAAGAGAGATACCACTTTAGATTATTGTGGGCTAACCACAGAATGGAAATAGGAGCTCAATATGTTCGCACAGTGTTTAAATCAAAAGGTCTTAACTAGGAATAAATTAGTGGATTCTTTTGAGTACACATTTTGCGTAACTAAAAACACTATCCCATAATAAAATGCAATATTGTCTTTAAAAAAAATGCATAAAGTCTGCATCACAGCTTTAACATCTGTCAAATATAAGGATTTGTTCTAGTGCTGTGTTTTAGCGATTTATTAGGTTTTAAGTGAAGAGTTCTATGACCTGAAATTTGGCATAAATGCTTAAAGATTATTTGTAGTTTAATGGGGTCTTTATTATTACTCATCACCCTGTGTTTAAGGCTTTTTAAGTAACATTTTCTTTTTTTTTTTTTCTTTTTTAGAATTCATATCCTGTGTTTCTTTACAGATTTTTGTGAGATATTGGCTGTTTAAATGGGAATTTGTATTGGAATGTAACTTTTTACATTTTCTTGGTTAAACTAAAATAAAGAATAAAAAGCCAAAATCCTACTTCCATAAATCCAATTCTCACACATCCACCTGTTACAGTATTCAGAGACTGAACTGCTAATGATCTTGTTCACAAATAAGATGCAAGAACTTGTTGAGTAAACGTTGTTTTGTGAATCCACACCCTCTTTTATGGCTGAAGATTTTAGTGAGTGAACAGTTTGGAAATGTTATTTAACAAATTACTCAGGAAGGAAAAGTAGAAGGAAAACTGAAATTAATGTCTTGTGAAAGTAGGGAGAACAAAGACAGCTCTAAGGGGACATCCTAGCTTGTTTGTGTTAATTACTGTAAAATTACTGAAGCATTGAAAAAAGGCAATAAACATCCCAACTAAATACACATAACTAACAATTAAGCAGTAAGCTTGACTTTTATGATAGCCTTAGACACTAACCTAGCAGTTTTCTACCAGTCTGCTTGAGGAAAGCGCTGGCTGAAGAGTTTATTGTTGCTGTGCAGATGACTTGTTTTCCCTGAGTGACTACCACTTCATGTGTCTAAGAGAATGTGGGTGATCACCAGTGCATCAGCACAAGGAAGTTTTATGGTGCCATAAGATTAAGTGTAGAGATGAAAGCAAGAGCGTTAGTCATGTTTTAAGAAATTGCAACACACATTTATAAAATACTGTGTATCTATTCTCTTCTGATAAAGCCAAATCCAAGTTCAAACAATTGAGTTGTGTGGGTTTTTTTTTTTGGTTTTTTTTTTTTTAATCCTAGATGGGAATAAGACTGGCAGTCTCATGTAGGGGAATTTCCCCAGATGAGTCCTACCAAGTGGAGGCTGATATTAGAGGTGCTGGACCTGGTACGAAGTCCCCTCTGTCTTTAGAATGAGGGAAATGACTGAGAAATTGTTACATATCCATAATACCGTATGCTGAAAGTGCACTGAATTTCTGACTGTCCAGCTTCTTCCCAAACCAAGTGTAGTCCAAGGTGTTTGCAGAGCAGGGCTGTGTGTCACTGCCCAGGGAGGTGACAATCACTTTTCCCTCCTGCTGTGAGGTGGATAATAAGATTTACAATAGATCACTTACAGCCGAGCTTGGAGTAGATCATAAGTCTCTTCTACTTACTGCTGATGGAGTTTGTGTGACGGTTCTGTGTGTTTAGGTAGTTTGTAGACATGGTGTGAAATGGAGGGAGAGTCTTTATTTTAATAGGGTCAAAATGACTAGTAGTAGACCATGGCAACATAAAGTGGAAAAGAGCCTCTGCCTTCTTCACTTTCTGAGTCTAAGGATTGTTAAAAGCAAGAGCAATCATTCATTCCCTCTTGCGTGGGGCAGGGGGAAAACAGCAGCTCTGAGAGCCTACAGCAGAGGAACTCTTGACGAATTTTCTGAAGAGACCTCTTAGTTTTTCGTTGTTACCTGCCATCTTGAAAGTGTTTTGGGAAAATTGAGCAGTCAGACAACCTGCTCCTCCTCCTTTATTAGGGAGTCCGTGTTAAAGCTAGCCAGATCTGGCTGACTGAGGGATTAGAGCGATTCCTCCTGCCCTGAGCTGCTGGAGAGACATGGCTACAGCTTACCCCTTCTTTGGGCCCTACCAGTAGTGAAGCTGAGTGCAAATTTCTGAGCGGGGCTTGCATATGCACATATGTACCCTGTATGGACGTGATTTGACCACAAACAGATTGATGCAGGCAGAGGAGTATTGCCTTTAGAGACACCTACATAGCCACAGACAGCGTGAGCAGACCAACCTTTTTTGAACTACTGCTGGTCAGGGAAAGACCTGCTGTTCAGGTCTCTCTGGTAGCTGTCTCCCAGTTCCACGATCCAGCTCTCAGACATTTTGTCTGACTTGCCTGCTTATCTGGCTTGGAGTTTGTTGGCGTATCTTATGCACGGAGAATAATGAGCACACTAGTGCAGAAAATAGTGAGGAGTAGGGTTTAATAGGAAGGTAAGACAGACAGTGGTGGTCAGGTACAGGGGTCAGTCAGACAAGGGTATTGGCCAGTAGCCTACACACAATCAGCCCATGTAATTCCCACCTCTGTTTTCTCATGCTTGTGCCCCCACCCCCTTGACCCCCCCCTTTCCTCATGTTTAATCCTGCCCCTAAACATCTCACAAAGTCTTACACATTGCCACAATCCCCTCTGAAAACCTCCCACAGTCATTTTTGCATGCAAGCGTTTACAGAGTAAGTTCTCCTTCATACATCCCATAATAAGTTTCCTCTTTTTTATGAGACTCATTCTTGATAACCTACAATAATCCTCTTTTTTTTCTTATCAGTTACCAAGTTTCTGGTTGAACTTCTTCAAGGTTACACTCAGAGGTTCCTTTCATGGCCCATTGATCAGTGTCTTATGAGTTCTAGTCTTTGTTATTGTCTTTGTTATCTGCTGTTTGTTAGGGTTTGTGTACTTGCGTGTTTAATTTATTACCTCTCCTGTTCCTTGCCTTGTCTTTCATGTTGAGTAGCTGTTAGGCAGATATCTTTGCAGTTCCTTGCCCTGTTTGAGCATCGGTGCTGGCTTGCACCTGCCGGTGCAGAAGCCTGTCGCAGCCAAGGCTGTGTTTCTGCAAGTCTCGGATGGCCTCATTTATGGCTGGAAGAGACTGTCAGGGCTATACGAAGTCTCTGCTATTGCTCTGACTTCTTCTGGGACAGTTGTCTGTAACTATTTTTCAGCATAGTAATCTCAGTTCTCTGTTACAAATAATTGTGGCTCACAATCTTTTTATCTTTGCTTGGTGGTTGAATGGTTGGGTGTTGTCATCACAAATTGAGTCTATTATAACAATATACTGCTTATGATGTGAATGCCTAAACATAAACTTAAGTTTTAGAGTGAATACAGAATTTGTGCGATATCACAATATTCTCACCTCTTGCAAGAGTTTGGATAGATTAGGTATAACACACAAGTTGTTCAGCCATCTCGGAAGTGAACTAGTTGGTGCAAACGTTTCTTCATTTCTTCCTGTGTCACCCCAAGCCAACAGGCAAGGAGCAGGTAGCATCAGAAAGCAGTGAGCAAGAGTTCTTTGTGTCTCTCATGTTGCCTTCTGGCTATTGATAGCATTTCTGACTTTGTTTTATCCTTAGGAAAGCCCATACTAGAAACATGGGGAAAAAGCAAGTTTCTGTATTGTTTTGTTATAAACATCTTACCGTGTCCTCCCTAATTGAGTTTTTTTTGGGGTACAATATTTGGATCAGTAGTTTGTTTCAGTTCTTACTTATGTTACCATAGGAACATATACCAGATCACAGAAAAATGAGGTAAGACTTTCTATTTACCGTAGTCTATAGCAAGGCTTATATTGTTATTTTTGTAGAACTCTGAGATCATAGAGCTTGCTTTTTATAAGATGCGTATCTGTAGGTTTGATTATGAATAACCCAAAGGAAATCAAAAAGGTAGAATCAAAGCAGTCATGTGCTTTGATTACTTAGTACCTTTCTCTGTGTAGAAAAAATAACTTGCTTTTTCTCCATTGAGGTGAATCAAGTCCAACTCGTCGAGAAGCAGTGAAAAGGAAGACTGCAGAATACCTTATGCGTGCAGAAAAAATTTCCAGTCTCTACCATAAATCCTCTGAAGATGCATCTGTTTCTATGGTAAGCTTCAATTTCTTTTTTCTTGAACCAGAATTTGGTATAATTAAATTGGTGTGTCTTTTAGCAAAGCATATTCAAGCTTGAGGTTCAAAAACTGTCTAGAATTTCCCTCTTTCCGGAGGCCTGAGGAGTATTTTGATGTTACGTTTCTGTTAAGTTGCTGTCCTTTTCTGATTCTTGTTGGTTGCATTTCATAGCATTACAAGGAGTGCTTGATTTAATCTAGGCCTGTTTGTTCGCATGCTTTCTTTCTACTCCACAGTTAACAATGTAAACATTTTTAATCATGATAAAGAATTTAAAGGTAAAGCAAAAAACCCACAAGAATGTAACATTTCTTTTGACTTTGCCATGAGAATATTGCTTGGTCCTGTAGGGAGCAGAAAGGCTGTTGGTTCCATTAGCCTAGCACATAATGGTGTATCAGAAGTGAATCAAGCACATGGTGGGGGGGTAAGAGATGAATTTCCCACAAAGTAAGTACTTAATTGAGTGAAGATTCTTCCTGATCCCTTCAGATGTCTCTCTTGGATGTGCTTGAGTGATCAGCTGCTTCTTGATTTTTGAGGAGTTTCTGTAGTAATTCCCACCTTCTTAAGCAGAAACGTCCTTATCTGTACTTGTACAAAAGACAAACAAAGCTTATTCCAAATCACCTTTAATAAATTTCTACTTTGCCCTTCCCCAACCAATTCCGTTGGCACTTACCTGTTCTTACTTCAGGCTTCTACTGCAGTCGTGCTAAACTGTGTGTGATTGTCAATGACCGCCCTGTTGTAGTAAACATAAAAGTTGCCAACTTCCTATCTCTCTACATTTATATCAAGTGAGGACAAAAGGGGCAGAAGATTATTGCTGCTTGTTTTGCACAGATCTAAAAATGCTTTAAGGAGACCACTGCTGCAAAAATAGGAAGCCTTATAAAATCCGACTACCTAATAAGTAAATTAAAAAAGCAAACCCACTGATTTTGAAGGGTAACATTTTTTTATGTTGAGAGCCCACAAGTACAATTTTGAGGATGTTCCAAATGGAATATATTTTGTGAGATCTGGAGTCTTGCTGCTGCTATGAATTGTACTTTGAACGATTTAGTATTTTGGACTGATATGAACTCCTACTAGGTAGTCTTTCTTTGGGTCAAACACACCTGAAAATGGGGAAAAATCAATGTTAAATGAAAACCTCTGTGTTTAGAAACCGTAGAACAAGAAAAAAACCTGTTAACGTATTTTTACCTTTTTAGAAGTTTAAAAACTAGTTGTGGTTGGGAAGGAGGAAGAAATAGGTTGCATTTTTGTATGTGAACTTGAGAGGTAAAGTATTTCCTCTTTTATGCTGTACTGAATAAGGCATGTGCCTTCTTTGCAGATCCAAAGGAAAGCAGGATTAATTGGGATGAGAGAAGGAAAAAAAAGTAGTGAGAATAGAATACTATTCTCCTTCTGTGTTGAAACTCAAAATTGACAAGTTCGGGCAAAGCTGACTTTGCACAAGCAAAATGTTGCACCTGACTTATTCTCCTTTTTTAAAAAAAGAAGTCATGTTTCCACGATTTGGCTTTGTTTTACCTAAGTCTGTATATGTATTTTAATATCTTTTATTTGCAGCTCTTCATAATGCATAAACTTGACTTTTATCTTAGAGCTTTGGAATTTGCTGGCATCAAGGGCAGATGGTGCTGATGGGTCACGACGGTTGTGGTGAGGAACAGCTTGTCTCCAAGTTGATAGCTGAAAGTTAATTGGGAGAAGGACTTATCTCCCAAAGTTATTTTAAGGGTAGTGGTAGGAACTACTAAGAATTGGCATGCTCTGTGCTTTGGCTTAGTGTCGTAAGGAAAGTGAGGAATGTGACTCTTCCTGCATGTTGGTTGCTGAGCAGACTGGAATTCTTGCAGCTTAGTTACTGCTTATCCTTTTTACTGCCCAAGTTTATATTGTGTGAATTACTCCCCCCCAAGCAGACAATAAGTGCACTGAAATGACCTGCATCTATATACACTGTGATTCTTGGGAGATACTAGTGGAAACATGCAGGTATTTTGTGTCCTTCTCCTACAGAAATTAAATCTATAGTGTACAAGGTTAATGTGTATGCCTCCTTGCACCATCACTTCACGCCAGCTTGATCTTTCTCTAACTGCTGTTTACATGCGTTTGGTCCCGCTGCGGCAAGGCTGGTCTGTTACCACTAGCACCTCCTACTGCTGTAGGTCTTGCTGACTGATACCATGCCTTGTTCAAATGCTTGAACTTGGACAGGATATAAATGTGAACGTTTAAATAACACTGTACAATGCTTTCTTTGCTCATGTGAATCTGTAAAGAGGTGTCTCATCACTTCTGTGCTGGAAGAACACTGAAGTCTTTGAGAAGAATCACTAAGTACACTTAGGAAGCCTTTCTCAGAAGCATGGCCAAGTGCTGTTACACCTGTTAACCCAGCACAGTTGGAACCATTTAACTGAAACTCGTTTGCCAGAAAATGATGGACAAGTACTGTACCCTAGCAGTACCTGTGCCTGTATTACAATGGGCAGAGTGCAGTTTGGTTATGGGAAGCATGGTTCAATGCAGAGAACTTCATGGGCAGTGGGGGCGCTCAGACTGTTTGCACTTTGGAGGAAGAGGTCTGACTAGTAAGCAAGCATCGGCATTTAAGGCAAAGTGTTCTTGTGCATGACCTGATGTTACAAGGCAGGACTGCTTTGTCACCCATGTCTGATGTAGATAGCTTTGTGTGTCCTATTGTGCCCTTACGAGGAACAACCACAGTGATCAGCATCAAAAGTAGGCTCACCTGGCCTTCTTATATACGACATTTTACTTCTTTCTCATCCACCAGGCCAGAGAAATGTCCAGTAAAGGAAGAGGTAAGCTCAGAAGTGCAGGTTCAATTATTGTCCTACACCCCTCAGCCTTTCATGTCTCCCAGATGCTTGGGCTGCCAGCTGTGTGCTGAACCATGTGCAGCAGTCTCAAAAGACTATGCCTGCTAAGCGGACCCCAAGCCACCCATTTGCCATCTGAACACCACGTGATGGTAAAGCACAGCGGCTTTTTTTCTGGGGACCTGGGGCAGAAGGAAGCGAGCTATTCTTCTGTCGCCCAAAATGCCAGGCCCTTGCCTCTTCGAAGACCAGATTTCCCTAGAGGCGAAGGCCTGGCATTTGAGAACTGAGAAGCAAAAATTATCTTTGATGCCATGGAAACCAAAGAAAGAACAATAGTAGTTTGTTACTTTTCTTGCCTCAACAAAAAGCCAACAGGGTAGCCCTCAAGGATAGCATCCTTAGCAACCGCCCTCCTGCTGGCAAGTCTGAGTGGTGAAGAGTGGAGCACAAGAGGAGGTGTTTGGAGAACCCTTGGCACTGTTGAAGAAAGGTTATGGGTAGAGGGCTTAAGGATGGATAGAAGATTTCTTAAGGCTGAAGAGAAGCACAGGGGACTGACGCAACTGTATCTGACCATGAACTGGGAACTCACTTGACAGGGTCTTGTAAACATTGAGAAAAGCCTTGCTGTGACCTGTAGGAGTGGGAGATGTGGAGACAGCGTCTGGAGGTTGTAAACAGGCATGCAGACCTTCTGGAAAAACAGGCTGCAGCAAACGCTGCCCTTCTCTTCCTCCTCTGGCACAGCATGGCAGCCTCAAGGGCCTTCTCAACAGCAAATACTCAAGAATGCTGTGTGACGGCAGCAGCAGGCCATTTTCCAGATTCTCAAGCTGTATTTTCTCCTCTGCCCATTTATAAGTAGCAGCTCTGGGGAAGGCACCTTGAAGCCTGAGTGGGAGCTGCAGCAACAGGCTTTGAATCGCACTGGATTGACCATCAGAAAGCTGCAGTCTTGCATAGCTGTCAGCGGTGAGGCCCAGCCCAGCTACATGTACAGGCTGTGGGTCTGTTTTAACTTTGTTGGTATTTTTATAATGCCTATTTTTTCACTCTTTGAAATTATTTCTGGTTCTACTTACGCCCAATTTTTTATATTCAAAATTGTCTCTTTTTGCATTGTTATAAGAGCTGTTGTCTTTTAAAATGTCAATTATTTTTGATTTTCAAAGCAATTTAGTAACAAGAGTTACATGCAAGCCTGATGCCCAGTCTTTGCCGTTTTCATAGGATATCTTACTTCCTAAAATTCTCATTAAATGCACATGAAAATGACATGAAGTGCAAAGAAAATACACTGCTGTAGTTCTGCGAGATGTAAATTTAACATAAAATAAGAAATTCAGTCTCAGGGCTTCCAAGATCACCTTCTGCATTCCTGTCTGCTTCTGGTTCCAGACATGCATGACCCCAGATGTGTCCCAGCTTCAGGGAAGATGCAGTCCCAAATTGATGATCACCAGGGACCTTCTGAAGCATACCATAGCTCTGTCCGCGTTCAGATGCGTGCAGAGATGCAACCTTGTTTTCCCGTGGTGCAGAGTGAGGAAGGGGCCAGGATGTTCTGCCAGGCCAGGAGAGCTGGAAGCTCTTTCACACCTATGGTGTGGAGCCTCACACCTCAGGCCAGCAGTATCTGCTTCAAAGCAAGGCATCTCCTTGCTGCAGATGAGAGTCTGGCCATGCTACAGTGGGCTGGTTACTGAAGTCATCAGACACAGACCTCCGAATGGTGAGGGGAGATCGCATTTTGATGTGCAGCTCTGCACTGCTGTCTGTGAAAGTGTTGAGTGTTGTGGGTTTTTTTGGTTTTTTTTTTTTTTTATCCTGAGGTTCTGTGGTGACTGCTGTCAAAGGTGGCAGCATCAGCAGTAGAATCATTTCCCATCAAATGGTGTTTGTGTCACCAGGCTGGGGATAGTGCTCTTGCCTTAAATGAGGTTAACGAGAGAGGCTCTTCCTCTTGCTTGGCTGGTAGTGTACCTTTCTTTCTCCCCCTGCTCTTAAAACTGCTGGCAGTGATACCAAAGCTGAGGCAAGAACTATTCCCGTATTTCATTGTGTAGCTTGCAAAACTGGACCCTTCCAAAGGCAAGTGGTGGCCACAAGTTGCTGGGTCTTCGCAGAGGCCAGCAGCACAATAAGCACCATCCTTTTCCGCTTAAAATTAGCATATGCTAGCCAAAAGATGATGGTAGGAAAGGAACTGGTGACACTGATCCCAAGTCAGATAACTCTAGCTGTGCAGCTCAGTGTAGTTTGGAAATAGTTTCAAAACATAGGGCCTAGCCACAGGAGAGAAGGTCCTGGGGTACCTGAGCAGCATGCTGAGCATTTGGACAGGCTGCTGAAGGTCTTCTGCAGGCAGAGGCAGCCTGCCACATCCTTTAGAATATAAATGCCTTATTTCTAAAGGGAAATGAAGCCTTAGAGTTTTTGTTACTCACTCTCCTTCCTGTTTTGTTTTTTTTTTTTTTTTGTTGCTCTATTTTTGATGACAGCGCAGTTTTTTAGTTATTTTTCTTATCATTGGCTAGATGCTGAGCTTGGATTTTTACTCTATTCAGAGGAGCAGGCGGCTTCATAGAGTGCTTAATTGCTGTAGTTCTGGGAATTGGGTATTTAGAGTTTGCTTCCGGCTTGCTTCACAACAGAATGTGATGCCTCCTCATCACTGGGCACCACTATTAGACTTTGCAACAGTGAAACCAAAGTACTGTAAAGAGCGAAAAATAACTTGAAACTGATAAAAACGGAGAAGCTCCTCGGAGCTGTGGAGATGTGGATGTGATTGTTAATCGTTTTAAGGTAAGAAGTGACTGTAGAATGCGTATATGGAAAACAATGTGTGTACACAGTATTACTGACTGTGCCACCATTGGTGATATTTTAGAGAAGGACCCAAAAATACGTACTGGTTTTTTTGGGCTGTTCAGACATGATGGGTGCAGACGTCCGATTCTGTACCATTATTAGACCACTATTAACTTCTGTAGAGATGTATGAACTTAATTCATGGTTGAACTGCTATGCATAAGAGAAAATTTTAAAAGCTTGATTATGGAGGAGTGGTTATAAAACGGAATAGCATGCAGATAGGAGTGGAAATCTTTTACAGTAGTCTAGAGGATTTTGAAATACTCTCTTTCATTAAATGTATTCCTTAGAATGCTTTTGAAATCTTGTAACAAATAAACTCCATGTTAGCACAACTCTTCGTTTCAAAGAAAATATTTCGTTATTGCAGAAAAATTGCACACTCTTAAAATACAACCCAATAAAAGAACTCCCTTGACCTTCCAACAGCTCTCTAGAATGCGGAACCTAAATTAGGTTTGGAGAAAAAAAACTTCATGTAGAGGTGTTTTGTTTTTTTTTTTTTTTTTTTTTTTTTTTATAAAACCTTTTTGTGTTTTTTAAAATTTGGTTTTTTTTTTTTTTTAAATAAACATACTATTAATAACAATGGAAAAAAAAAATTTATGTGGAGGTGTTTTTTTTTTTTTTTTTTTTTTTTTTTTTTCATACTAAAACCTTTAGTGATTTGTAGAATCTGGACTGTTTTCTCTTAACTGCTGTTGGCACTCTTGCTCGGCAGTGTTTACATGACAAAATAATTATAAGACCCAGATAGATAAATGAAGATAAATAATAAACTCTTTTTGACATAGAGCCCAGTAAGTGAACAAAAAAGAAAAGCACTCTTTTCTCCATGCTTTTTGAACATGTGTTTTTGAACCTTTCTGTTTAATTTTGCAGGCAATGCTAAAACAAGAGTTGATTTTTGGGAAAGAATTTGGAAGGAGAGAAGGTGGTTGACTGGCAACATGAAGGGGAGCCAGTTTTGGTGAGGGCTTTGGTGAGGTGCTCTGGACTTTGAGGATAGCACAGTAAAGATGTTGGAGGGGAAACACTAGGGAGGAAGCAAATGGAATTATCTAGTTCAGGATCTCCAGTTTTTCTGGGAGTTTCTGATCATAAGGGAAAATGTCTTAATTTTTCCTGATACTTAAACATTTCATCCCCAGCATAATTGCTTACCAGGAGTTTTCCTTTGTGACATTTGTTAAATACTGCCTCAGGATTCTGAAAAATAAGATAAACAGCTTTTGCCTCTTAGAAGCCTGAAAATCAAGGAGTTTCACCTTCTTTTACCTTTGTGCAATAGAAGTGTACTTGGGGAGGCCACGTTATGCTTAAAAAGAGTTTGGCATTCAACAACTCTGCAAATGAAGTTACCTTATTTGTGAGGAAGAGATCCAGGTCTGTGGTTCTGCTAGAAGCTGCATGTTGAATTTTTGGAGGAGGATCTAATGAATCCTCTCAGTTGGCAACTAGAAACTTCTGAAAATGTTTGTTAACATGCCAGAGGTGTATGTGATGCTTAAGAGGTTGATCTTTGTCCCAGAAGACTTCCAGTTGAAACACTGTTCCCTCCTTTGACATGCAAGCTTTGAGTTTGCCCTGAGAAACTAGAAAACATAGCACGGACAAAAATCTATGCATATTAACTACTTGAATAGTTAGCACCTGCCAGTTCTCTTGCTATGGTTTTAATTTCTAGATTAACGGTACATGGCTAGCGACCTTTTTCTAAGGCAGTTTTAGGAGCTGCTTCTGTTGTGTACCTTGTTATTAAAAGGATTTCATAAAGCTCACCAGAGAACCCTGTTTATAATTCTGTATTTTATGTTCTTCAGACTTAAAAAGCCTCTAATTTGCTTTCTCCTCCTTGGTGATCTCTGAATTATTTTGTATCCAGAATACCTGTAAGGCTTTGATTGATTATTGTGATGGGCTAAGAATTGAGTAATTGATTGCCAGGTTCCATTAAGCATAGAAAGTGTAAAAATTCATTATTTTTTCTTTTTAAAATTTTTGTTTTCAATGTTATCTCCATTTTTATTTACTTGCAAGTTGTTTCCCCCCCTCCCACTAAGGACAAACAGAAAACTTCTCCTTTCATCTTCACTCTCTCTGATTTATGATAAATTTAGTTTCCTTCGGCCTGGCATTTGCTTCAGCAGGCAGTCTTCCTTCAAGTACCACCCTGATTGATGTATAATCTTTGATATCTTCCATTAGCCTCCAGGATCACTAAGTTCAAGGCCCTCTTGGAACCTAAGGAGCCCTGCCGAGGAACTGAAGGCCTTCAGAGTCCTTGGGGTGATTGACAAGGTAATTCTTCAGTGTCTCTTCAAGAGTTCAGTCATAAATCGACTGCATGCTGACATTTTGTCTTTGAAGCTGTGGATCTTAAGGATATGAAACAAAAGAGGAAAATGACTCAAATGCATCTGCACTTTAAAATAACAAAAGTAGAAGAAAAAAGGCTTTTATCTAAGCAATTCATGTAAGGTCATGCAAAATATATTTGAGCTAAAGGATAAGGTACATGTTTGGTGGCATTCGATAGGATGAGGCCTGTTTTTCAAAAATGAAGTCACGGTTACAATGCTGGGGTAGGGACGACGTTTTCAGTTGAATAATCTGGTGGATACTTGAAATACAGAAGGGCAGAAATTCCTACTTTTGAACTGTCACTTGAAATGGGGGCTGGCGACACACACGGCTGTTCTTCTTCCCTGAGAATTTGGAATTGAAATCCCCTACCAAGACAGAGATTCAGCAATGAAGCCAAGCTTATTTTTGACTCATGCAAATAATGTCTTCCAAAATCCCAGGGTAATACTCCTCTAAACAGTAAAGGACCATACAGGTTTTTTTGCCAGCCTAATTAAGAGACCAGAAGAATTGCTGCATTGTTTTGATAATGCTGATTAGTTATCACCTTACCAAATACTTTTAAGATGATGTATTTTTCAGCACTGTGTGGTGGCTAATGCAGACTGTAAAGGCTCATTTCCTTTTTGCCGTGCCAATTCCCTTGTGCCTTTTGATAGTTCCTTATGTAGTCCCTGGTTTGTGCATGACGTACTGATGCATGGTCAATTTATGCATTTGTAGCATGCATCAGAAAACCTGTAGCTGGTCTCTTAGGGTCTGTATTTCTCAGTTTCTTTTTCTTGTTGGACTGAACCTAGCTATGGAGACTGATTTTTATTTTTCTTTGCCTGTTTTATTGTAATTATGTGCATAAGTTGATAACTTCTCTTCAGAGGGCTATATACATTCGGTATTATGGTTGTTTTAATAGCACACAAGGTTTTCTCAGTTCTGACTTCATAGTCATTGTATCTCCTTTCCTCAGTTGTAAGTACAGAATTTAGCCTGTGTTCCATTCTCTATATGTATCAGAGAGACAGGTTGGAAAGAGCACCTATCTGTTGGATTAGTAGGCACTACCTAAATTAGTAGCCACTAAATGGGTGCAGTAGGTATGGACTTTGTGAATTAGTCTGACAATGAGAGGCTGCAGAAGTGTTGGAAATGAACCAAGAAAGACCTTTTCGGTATCTTCGTTCTTGTATAAGAATAATGAACAGCTACTGGAGAGGATGCTTGATCAGAATGAAGCTTTTGGAGTCCTTGGTGTTATCAAATCTCCTAGATCTCTCTGAGCACAGCTCTAGTAAGTGTCCCAGGTGCGAGCTGAACGTGTCCAGATCTTTGAGGCAGAGTTGGGAAGAATGAGGGTTCTGGTGACGACAAAGGTACAAGATCTTAGTGTTGGAGATGTGTGCGAGGAGTAACAGGCCTGTGTATACAGCTGGTACCCTCATGGTTAAACAATACCATAGGGGTCAGAGTTAATGTTTAATTATTGTATGAAGAAGGGAGCACTATTCTTTCAGGTGTCTTTGTACTCTGTGTATCGGCTTCCAGATCCTTCTTATTACGAACTCAATCTTATTCTGAGTATGCTGTCTTTTTTCATATATTTTTAAGTGTTCATAAAGTTGTGGGGCAAATGAAAAGCTGCTTTAAGCCCAAATGTTCAGAGCATGTTTTATTTGGTTTTATAATGCATCCACAAAATGCATGTGGATATGAAACAAAAGTGTGCAGATGTATCTGTGTGCTGGAGACGATGCCCCTGCCTTTGGTTTAAAGCATCATCTCAATTCCTTCCTCACCATCGCTGTTCTCTGCCTCCTCTGCTTGCATATGCCCTGAAGCTCACATCATAGAGAAATCCAAATAGATGTTTAAGTATCCTCACTGGAGCCAAGCAGATGACATAGCGTGTTTGTTCTTGAAAATGGATTCTGATTTTCAGGGCCAGCGTTGAAGATGCCATGCTTTTGGGCACAAGTCTCTATCTGATTCAGCATCGCGCAGAGTTTTACCTGAAAATACTCTTCTCCTATACTAACCCTGAGGTAGCTGATTCGGTTTCAGCAGAAAATGGGTGTGTGGATAGTAATGAGCCACTTGCATTTTTACTCCTGTCTTGCCTAATCCTGTGTAAAAAAAAAAAAAAAAAAAAAAAAAAAAACACCCCTTTTAAAAAAAAAAGTAAAAAACAAAAAAAAAACTTTTAAAAAACACCAAATAAA